GATATTAGTTAGATATTGATAAGTAGGCAAGCTAGTATTTAACTCTTCTGAAATAATAAGAGAGATATTGTTTCTTTCATGATGTATACCTTGTTATATACAAATCAAAATAAAGAAATGATGTTTACCTACTGGAGAAACCTCTTCAAAAAATAATAATTTTTAAATGGTTCTTTTTTTTTTGTTTAACTAGCGAGGCCTTGCCCAACATACTTTATTTAGTTTACATATGTATTTCTTGTTACAAGTCTTACTATCTATAAACTATTCTAGATACATGTTTTGCTATATTGATTTAACTCTATATCGGCTTGTTGCTATTGACTTACCTTGCAGCATATGTCAAGGCTAATGTGCCAGAGCTCTGTTAATATTGTTATTGTATGAATAATAGAAGAAATTGAAATTGATTATGTTTTTTTCCCAGTCAAGCCAGTTCTCTAAGAGTTTTCCTTGTAGTCTTCTTGCTTCTTCCATTCTTTCGAGTGGTGACCTGTGTTACCTTGTGTGTATGGCTTGGATATTGACTTGGAGTCTTTCTTTTTTCCTCTTTTTTCTCTTCTGCTTATGTTTTCTTCTTTTTCCCATTGCTGAAATCTATCGCATCTATAGATCCAGAGTTTTCAGAGTTTCTCTGTCATTCTATTTGTGACTGTTCTTAATGTATCTTTAATTTTTTTCCTATTGATCTGTCCCACCAGTTTAGTAAGGTCCTTTTCGTAGATTCCCTTGATTATATATCTGATAGTTCTTTCTAAGTCATTGATAATAAATTTGAGTTGTTCCCTCCAATTCTTTCTTCTTTCTTGTGTTTCTATCCTGCTTACTATTTCTTCTTTTAGTATTTGTAGATATGTAGTTCTAATCTCTTCCCTGTAGTGTTCACGGAACATGTGTTCTGTGGTTTCCCATCTGTTGCACCAAGGGCATATTTTATCCTTGTATATATCTGACCTTTTCTTATTTAGCTTGTCCTTGGTGGGGAGCTCTTCATTGATTAGTTTGTATTTGAACTCTCTATTGTTATGGTCTTGTTGGTTGGTGTGAAATCTTGTAATCTTTAATGGTGACAGGCTTGCCATGTCCTTCTCCAATCTAATATTTTCTCATCTCCTGTGTTTAGTTATGCTTTATGTCTTCTTTGTATTGCCCATATACTGATCTATTTGCTGTTTTGCCATTGCTTCATGAATCTATTGGTTCCTATGTCTAGGTCTTTACTATTCTATTGTAACATTCCTATCATTCCTTTTATGTGTTGACAGTTTATACTTATGATGTGTGTGTGGTCGAGCTCATTGTCTTCCTTTGTTAGCTGGTCTGCGCGATCATTGTATTTTTCTTCTGTATGTGCTTTGATCTTTTTTAGTGTTGTTGTTACTATTATGTCTCTGATCTTCTCCTGGATGAGAGTTGTTGTGAGTATATTTGTTCCTTTTGCCACCTTTTGTTTTACTGTAGTTTCTGATTGTATCACCTGAATCACATACTGGCTGTCTATAAATATGATTGTTTCTGTTTTTGGATTGAGGAGTGTTATTGCTATTAGGATTGCCATTAACTCTGCTCTTGTGAATAATGGGAAACCTTTTTTTAAGTGGTTCTTTATTTATTGAAGAGGACTGTATATTAGAAAAGACATTCAATATATATATATATATACTGTATTTGTATTTATTATAATATAAAGTTTTTTTATTTGTTTATTTAATTTTTTTACAAATATTATTAATATATTATATAAGTATATATTTGAATAAATATAATCTTACTTAAGAATTAAAGGTATTTATATAAAACAAATATGACAAAAATTGATGAAATATATTTTTTATTAGATCTTAATATTCTTAAATATTTAAATCGTTGATATAAATATTTTGTTAATTAAAATACTTTAATATATTATTTATTTGAGTAATTATTTTTGAAGGCGACAAAAATGCTAGATATAATTTTTTCAGACCCAACTTTTAAACAATACATATATAATATAAATTTTAGAATCACGCCAGAAAATTTCCGGTCCGCCTTCGAAAATAATTACCCATTTTAAAATTATTAATTGTTATTTAATTATATATGAACAAAATTTATAAGATTTATTGAAGTTATTGAAGTTAAATTTCATTTTTTAAATGTTGAATATAATATTTTGATTTGGTTTTAATACCTCGAAATTGGATTATAATGTATTAGTAGAAATCTAAGCTTAATTTGGATCTATCATTTGATTTTTACTTATGAAATCATTAATCAATTTTGACTAATGTTTTGACCAATGTTTTGAAGTTGTTTATAAGAAAAAAGATTGTATTTGAGATTATACATGTAATCTATATTTTAAAGCAAAAATGTAGATTTAATTTTCTGATTCACTAGTGACAGAATCACCATTATGTATCCCCAACATTGTATATAAAACTGTCTAAAAAACTCATCATAATTTATAATTTCTTGCCCATATGTAGATTCCGAAATTATTAAATCATAAATTTGAAAAAAAAGCAAATGCTATTTATTTCATTAATCAAACATAATAGTTCGTATTATAATTGAATCCTCAAGTGTTGTTCAGCAATCCACTATACATGTACTTCGTTTGAATCCGACCGAGTGTTATTCATAAAGACATGTTAGGTACATAATCACAGTTTATTAATGAAATATTATAGTATACATCGCTTATGTAAAACTGATTAGTAATCGAAAGTTACTTAAGTTACGACAGTACGAAGGTTGCTGAGCATAAGATACTGCAAGTATTCCTTCTGCTTATATCAGTTTTTAATCCTCTGGTGATAAAATCCTAAATTTTCCTGGCCAGTTGACTGAAGCGACAAAATAAAGGTTTGATGGGAAATTGGTCCATGATGTAACTGGTGGATATTTTGTGCCGTTGATTGAAAATGCGAGTGTCTTACTATCCATGTTTAGGTGCACAATAATTTTCACATTATCCTGTATGAAGGCTGGAACGTCGTCCGTAATAGATTTACTATTATGGGTGTAGTATCCACCCGAGCCCCAAACCCATCCATGTGGTTGATATCCAGAAAAATAAGAAAAATCGAGACCTTCGCCACAGATGCCCACCCAAGCGCAACCACAAGTCTTTTCTATTAAAACATGAAATTCATGAGTTCCATTACGCATGAGACAATTTGTTCTTACATTTTGATGCTTAATTATATTTAGAGGCGCGCTAACCGTATAACCATCTTCACTAATATTTAAATCTGTACCACAGCCGTCTCTATCCCATTTAATTTGAGAAATGCCGTAATATTCTGATAATGGTTTTTCACAGGCTTGAAATCGATATG